CTTTTATTTGCTGATTTAGGAAAAGAAGTATGTTGGTTGTAGGATGGGGTTAATCCTTATTAATGCAGTTTCTTAAATTTTTCAGCTGCTTGAGGAATCTTTGAGCTGCTTGGATTTTTGACAGAGGATTAATGTCAATGAGAAATGTGAAATCAGGACATCACAAGCCTCCTCATTCCCTATGCTATCACACCATGCTGCTCCCCAGAGAAGGGAGGCAAGGAGAGAACATACATTTAGGGTCTCATTGGGGAAAAAGGAAAAGGTTAGTTTAGGTTTTCTCGCCATACTTTTATAAATGCCTCTATCAGAGCTAATTATTCAGTGCCGGAGTGCTTTGATCTGTATTTCAGCCATTTTATTAATAAAATTAGTAGATTTTGTGCCTTCTGTCTAGCTGTGGATGCTTTTAAGCATAAGCAAACAAAAGAGAGGATAGAATTCATGCCGGAACAAAAAGTCATGCTATTGTGTGGGTTTTTTTAAAAAAAAAGGTTGTTCAAGCAATGTGCAGGTTATATACAAAATGAGGTTCTGGCACTGTTTGGGTTTTTAACTCCATCTTCCATTTTTTCTTCACTGCTGATTCTGCCTAACTGAAGAAGAAACAAAAGGGCAGAGCAGCTTAAAGTGGGGGGGGGGAGGGGAAGGGAAGGCAATGTCTGATAAATAAGCCCCCAGTGGAGCTTAGTGGCTGCCAATCTTCTTTCCTTAATGTCATGATTTCTAGAAATGTGGTGCCATCTTCTCCTCTGCTGTTTCAGGGACTTGGCCATGTCTTCATCCTTCTTTGTTATAGCTAAAGACTATCAATCAGTTTATTTATTTTACTTTCCTTCTGGTCTAGTTTATTCCCTTCTACGCATTTATGTATTAATTGCCTTGACAGCAGCAGGTATGGCTAGGGAGCAGGTTATAGTCAAGATTAAACGCCTGAAATTGTTCAATAGCTGCTTTGATAGAGGCAGTGCTGGTCTAGGATTCACAGCGATACTTTGGGAAGTTAGCTCTGCTGATGTGCAATACCTCAGCACACATCAAAGAGGAGTGGTTGTGATTGGATTTGTGTGTCGAGGACGAAATGGAAATGGTTGGAAAAGTTGGCTGGAGAGCTTCTGCAGGCTAGTTCAGCCTTCCAGGTAGAAGCGGTTTGGGGTCACAACTCTTCTTACTTGTGAGGGAAAAAAGAACTGGAAATGTAATTTTTCTGTCTCATAAGCTGTAATCCCCTAGGCACAAAGGGATATCACACTTTCTTGTGCATATAGATTTATGTTTAAGAACAATTTCCTGGCAGTACACTTCCTTTCGCTGTGTGCAGTGACAAATTGTGTTAGAGATTTTACTAATGTATAAGGAATACAAACTTGAGAGCTGGGAGGGTTTTGGACTGTACCTCATAATTATCATATCCAGCATTTCATAGAATCATGTGGGTTGGAAAAGACCTTTATGATCATTGAGTCCAGATTTCATCTACTTAGATGTCATTTGCTGTTTTACTGGGGTATGTCATTCAAATTAGTGATTTTGCATGCTTGGCATTTCTCTCCCAAATAATGCAGGTTGTTAAGTGTGTGCCACAAGCACCCAAATTTCTCCCATTTGCATGGCTGTCGTGTGCTATGAGGTTGTATTATGTCTGTTCTGGAATTTGGGGTGGGGTAGATAGGAAGCGGTTAAAAAATCAAATTTGAAAAATCAAAGCTCTTGCTTTACATGCTCTTTGCCCATAGAGCACAAGCCTGTTTTGGTTCTGGAGCTGTGGTTGTTGGTGAAGCTCACCTTGCCTTTAGGTAGCAGCAACAGATGACTCGGGTAAAATGAAGCATCCCATATGTAAGCTGCTCAGTAGATAAAAAATTTAACATCATTGAGAAACATTTACTTTTTCTGTTTGACAAACTCCCACATGTTCCTTGGAATGTATTTTAGGTGCTCTGCAGACAGCATTCCCATGGCCTGTTTGAGACATATCCTGATATTTCCTGAAGGGTCCTAGAATACGCCAGACACACTTCCGAGCCGAGACAGGCCGGCCATGCTCCTGGAGAGGTCTGGCAGACAGCGTTTCCCTGTCGCTGCTGGACATCGGTGCTGGCCTGCTCTGATTTATTGAGGTGGCAAGGCACTTTTCATAGATCATGAGCTTACAGCATTCATGATTTCTTACTATTTCCAAAACGGAATTACCTTCAAGATTTATGGGAGTTAAATATCCTCTAGTTTGCTCTTTTTTTCCCCATATGGGTATAATATTTTCCCCCAAACTGTTCCTCCCCTCTCTTTTAATGAAGCAAAAGTATGAATTCAGTTTCTCTGGCTCTGTGTACAATATTGTTAAATATTACCAAATAATAGTAGGTGGTCGAAGGCTATTGTGTTCTTTGCTAGAAAAAATCTCAAAGTTTACTTGTAGCAAATACAATAACAAGGCCAATGGTCACTTCGCCCTTCTCTTTGGACGTCACTTTGGTCGCATGCAGAAGGGAACACCGTAGAGCATTGCATCAGTCCTGCTAGTGCTTCAGCTGCTTTCGGGGGGTCCCCTCGGGGCCAGGGAGTCGCAGGAGGATCTGACCTTCCTCCTGGTTTTACCTGGCACCTTGTAAGGAGGAATCTGCATCAGGGATTTACTACTGTAAACTGTCTTTTCCTGCTGTATGACCTGCAAATAGGCCAGTTAATTGCATCTATAAAAAATACCAACTTCTGTGTTAGGCCTGACCTTTACAGCCTGTACCGTCTTTTTTGTGCAGGGCTCTTGAACAGGTGAACTGAACTGGCTAAGTTTTTTATTTACACTGCACTACTTTGTAGCGTTACTGCAAGGAATCCTCTTGATTCTTGAGAGGAGAATAAAACCTGCTCATATATGCATTTTCTGGAGCATCCAAGTTTTTCCTGAAGATTGCATGTCACAGTGGCAACCAGAGTAGCTCAGTGACCAAACAAACCAGCCCGAAGGTTCTGGTGTCCCCCAGGTAGTGCCATCGTTCCTCACTGTGGCTGCTGCCCGGGGAGAACAGGGACCGTTCTGTGGGACCTGACTTCTGCTATTAGTTCAAGCTGTAGCTGTAAAGGAGGAGCTGTGAACATCTGTGCTGTAGCCATTCAGGTTATTAAACCTCCTGCGTTGTATGAGAATCCTGCAAAGATTACTCCTATTGATGTTGGAAGGAGGTGGAGAGCACTCCTTGGAGACCCATCAGTGTAACATAATACTTGCATTTCAGTGCACCAAGATGCTTGGAAAAACATTGAACTAATTTGTCAGGTTATTGAAGCTTTTCGGGTATTTTCAGAGTATTATTGTATCCTGTTCTTCTTTTAATAGTCCTGGGGTTTTTTTTTTTTTACTCAAGATCTTCAGAAGCTCAATATATTTACCACATCTTCCCCACCTTTTCCTAGATAAAGTTATGTAGATCCTTTCGTATCCTCAGCTCTGGAAGAACATTCCTTTCCTTCTAGATCAGCCATGTAATCTGTGCATCCTGCTTTTATGGTTATAGATGATCTTATTAAAGATTGCATGAGTGGATGTGAAGCGGTATGCATGAGTGAGCGGGAATCTTCCGTTCTTTTTTTGCTAAATGCTCTTGGTCTCTCTCTTCCTCCTTCCCAGAGATTCTGCAACCTCTGATTTTCTGCGTGTCTGTGATAGGACTTTATAATTCAGAATTCATTCCATCCTTTCCTCGCTGTGCTGCTATCTGAAATTGTTGCTCTGTACCTGGCTGCGGCATAATGTAGATGAGTTTATCTTAAATCAGGTAGTTCAGGTCCAAGAGTTATCTGATTGCAGCAGCATGGAGTTGCATGCTAAGTGCAAAAACAGCCTGAAGGGAGGGTTAAACTGGTGCTTTACATTTATCTGGCAACCAGTACCTATGTTAGCCAGGCTGTATCTAATTCAGATACGTGTACGTTGCACTTGCAGTGTGGCTGGAGTGGAGATGTGCTCTCTGACTCTGAACATGCAGTACATTCCTTTCTCAGTTTCTATAGCATAGTGGGATTGATTTGATCCAGAACATCCCTGCTACTGTTTTGATATGATTGAATGAACAGATTGCTAATAGTATTAGCATATTTTCTAGCAGTGATCTTGGTACACTCAGAAATGGTCCCATATGAAAATTAGTATTTCTGTAGTTTCTTTTGCTAATTGTTTCCTTCTATCTGGCCACTGTACTAATCATTTCTAGAAGAGACAAATTTTAGTAGCTGCTGTGTTTGTCTGTTGAGGGTGTAATTAGGATAATGTATTCTCCTAATGACACAGTTAAGAAGGACTAGTTCTCTCTTTTGTGATTTTGGATAGATCACAACTGTTTGGTTTGGCAAGGAACTCTCTTGAATCATTTATATGTTAATGAATGCAGAAGAAAACACCTACATCTGCACTGAATTTCCGTTCTCTGTAAGCTAAGTGCTGCTTCATGATCTCCTGAACCGTTTCCTTTCCTGCCTGTGTTACGATAGCTGCTGTGTATGTGCACACGAGTGAGGCAGAAGCAGCCACGGGAGCAGATAACCCCAGCCTTGCTCTCCCCATGCATTGCCCAGCACATCCACACCAGCACAGAGCAGCACACCCATATGTAACGAACAATGTAAAGACCCCTTCCTCACAGGTTCATGTAGACAGCACATGAATTGGCTTGTGCTTACAAAGCTGGAAGTAAAACCGACTAAACTCTGGTTGCAATTTACAACTTATTGTAGCTAAATGAATAGTGTGGAAGTTCTAAATTGCTGAGTGGAAATGAATGCCAGGCTTACAACTTGAGTATTTTGGGTGTCCTCATGGCACAGAGTCCCGACAGATTTGTCCCACTGCAGGCGTCTTTGGGTAAAATTAAAATCTTCCATGTTACCGTATTGCTGGTGAGAATATAGAATCAACACTTAGGTATGGATTCTCTCAACCTTCCTACAGAGATTTATCCTTCCTAGTTCAGGAGTTAATTTCTGTCTCATTTTGGTTTTCTCAGGTTCTCGAAGCCGGCACCAATGTTCTTGGATGATTCCTTCAGGAAATGGGCACGTATCAGGGACTTTGTACCCCCTTTTGGAATTAAAGGACAAGGTAGGAGAAAACTGCACAGCTCTTGAAAAAGAAGGTGATTCTACAGATGCTTGCCCCATCTTGTTTTTCTGTTTTGAAAGCTCAGGCGGTCCCTTGGCTCAGCTTTTTTCTCCTGTTCCAGAGAAGCATTGTACGTGTAGGTCTTGGAAACCCAAAAGCGTTTTTGCAGCTGGGACATGAAGGAAGGTTTAGTTCATGGGGGGGAGTTAGTGCAGCAATGGCAGTTTAGACCTACCACCACATTCTGGAAGAAGCATTTTGGCATTGACTGCTGTAGCTTGTAGCATCTTTGCTGACAGCAGCAGAGAGAGTCCAAACTGATTTAAAGTACCTTTAAGTCAGTAATTCTCTGAAGAACAGGAAAGACTCCTCTTTCTGAGTTTTGGAGCCTTGGGTCTGACCACTGATACAAATCTTCATTTCTTTTCATAGCATTTGGTTGTGTAATTATTTTATAGTTGTGATACTTGTAGACATTTATAACAAATAGAAAAATCTGTCAGATGCTTTAGTGATGATTTGTAATATGCCTTGTCCTGCAGTTGGGGCATGGTAGCAGGGACTGCATCTCGGGCATGCTGTGGGAGAGCAAGAGTGGTGCTGGTGCGGATAAGATGGGAGCCAGTAGCCCACCAGCAGATGGTATATTTTGTAGGTGACACAAGCTCCTCGCTATCCCGCGTATGCCACCAAGAGCCTCTCTGGGTGAGTGGTGGTGGAGCAGAAGGCTTATGCTCACAGCAGTCACTTGCTGCAGACTTCCTGCAGTCTGATGTGTTCTTATTAAGAAGTGTTTGTGGCATTGCATCAACTTCCAAGATTTTTTTTTTACTCTGGCAAACTCAACATTACAGTTGGCCCCTGTTAGGAATTGAAATACCTGGTGGCGAAAGGAGAGCAGCCACAATGGGCTTGGGTCTGTCTCTCTCTGTGGAAGCAGGTGTTGTAGTTGTTAGAACAATCTCTGATCAAATCAAAGGCTCTACTGACAAATTTCTTTTGGCTTGCATCAATTCCCTTCTTTGTTTTGTGTATGTCCATTCCTTGTCCAGTTGGTCTTTTGCAGCTCAATAGGCAGCTAATTACTGTCCTCTAAATCAGCCAGCACAGTTTTCAGCAAAGAAATAACAGTGGCAGCACAAGCGGAAGGTTGCGTTGAACACAGGAGGGCTTGTCCCCTTCTAACAGGCACACAAGGTGTACAAAACTAGGGCAAGCTGCCTGACCAACGTGGAGGTGGGATTTGCAGATTACACATGATGTCAGCTAGACCTAATAAAAATCATTCCATTAAACTGAATCCAAATGGAGAAATTCACCAAAAGGGGATGACGGAATGGCTCTGGCAGCCTTCTCCCTGGGTTTGTTGCCAGCTTGTATCACCACTGCAATGTTATGTAAATCTGGTGTTTTATATTGGATTTCCTCAGTTAAAAAGAGAAATGAGAAATTGCCATTATTTAAACGGCTGTGAGCTGAAGCCATGGGACGGAAACCGTTGAATGGGTTATTTTTTTAATGCCCTCCTGGGACTGAATTTTGTGCCAAGTTTCAGTCTGGAGCAAGTTCTGTGTGTGGGAGGGTTGAATTATAAATCTCTGTAGCCCAGGATTTCTAATGGCCATGCTGACAGGCTGTGAGTCCTAGCGATGCGAATGGCGCCCTTTCATGTTACACATCACTTGGAATTCTTGCATCAGTCTTTTCTGGCTGTCCCACGGGATGCATTCTGGCTCAGCTGAGTGATTGGATGATGGGATCAGCACCTCATTAGGGCTTTTAGTCGGGGCAATCTAATGATATCTAAACAACTGACCCAGGCAGGCAGTGTGGAGCTCAGTCACGTGCTGGTGCGAGATGAAGACTATCAGAGCTGGGATGTGCATGGGAAAAAGAGTGGTCAGGGTGGCTGAGAAACTGTAGAGACACATGCCTGTGCTGAAACACGGGGCAGGAGTTTTGCTCTGTGCGTTAGGAAGCCCTGTGACACCATCAGCTGGGATTTCCAACGTGCATCACACTGGGAAAGGCGATCGGTGTTTATAGACACCAACTGTAACTGGGTTGGTAATGGGAAGATTTTGTTGATAGCTTTGGTGAATATCACCCGGCGTTTTCAAGTCACTGTGATCTAGTCCAAGTGCAAAATGGCTTTCATTTTCTGTGAAATATAGCTGCAGGATGAGCTCACTTTCAGTAATGCTGCATGTTCCAAGAAACTTCTAGAAACTAATCTGTGGTAGCTTGAAAGTACTGAAGTTATGAAATCAAGAGATTCTTAGCAGCTTGGAGATTAATCCACCATTTCTGCTTTCTCTTGTTTAAGTTTCTCTTTATTCTTCAGACTTTTAGCTAAGTTTTTCTTTGCTGTGTCTCTGAAAAAACATGAAAGAAGTCCTTTTTCATCCATCACTTGGTGTTTACTGGTCCAAGAAAGAACAATTCCAAGATGCAAGAACAAGTCTTGCATTCTTTAGGGGAAAGCATCTTTTGAGGAGCATTGTCTACTGAGCTGCACTAATTTGGAGTAACACGTCTGTATAAATTACATCTGAAAGAGTAGAAATGTCTCAGAAATTTTCAAGGCAGAACTACCACTCTTTATAGGCGATCTTATCAAGGAGAAGGCAGTATGCTGATCATTTTGACACAGTTCATCAGGGATCTTCATTTTCTTCAAAAAGAATCTGATTGTAAAGACAGTTCTTCCATCTCCAGATGCTAAAAAGTACTCAGGGTAACACAGAAAGCTTAACAGCGTTTCTTCATGAAGGGATGTTCACTCCTTCTCTCCATTGGTCATTTCCTGATTTGGCCATTAGCCCATGCAAGGGGGTTTTATGACCAGAGTGCTCCACTATCTCCAAGAACATTTGCATGTGGAAGCCCTCAAGGTGAATTTGGTTCTGAATATGAAAGTTTTTAGACTTTTCCCCAAATTATGCTGGTTCTGAAACGGATTATTGCAGTAGGAATAATGCACATCTCATGTCAGATTGGAAACGGCTGCTATCATTAGTTAACCACCTTAGTAATTGTTGGCTGCTAAATGAAAGAAGCACAGGAATAAGCAGGTGGTGACCCTACTGCTTTATGAACAGGACTTTCTGAGATGAGGCATGTGGTAGGAAGTCTTGTGCAAGCTCTTTCTGAACAGTGGTCTCTGAGTGCCCCCTACAAGGTATTAGATGAAGAGGAGTTTATGAGGGGCGGTTGTACCTTTTTCTTAAACTGTCTTAAGTGGGGCAATGTTGTACTTGTTGACTCTGCATCTGTTCACCAAAGATCTGAACTATGGAGTGATCCTAATTACTTGATCCCAATCCCCAGCGACCTGGAATAAAAGCAGAGCTGAGAACCATTAGGAATGTTGGAGCTGCTGCAGCAGACTGAAGGTGTCATTGCAATCATCACAGATGTCTGTAGCCCTTCACGGGAGCTCTTGCTTTCTCTGTGTGCAGAGAATAGGGAAAGCAATAGATATGTCGTATTTCTGAAGAGCCGTGCGTGTATTAGGTTTTGACGCCACAAAGGGACACTACAAGTACTTTTGTGTAACAGTGGCTCTAGGTTTCACCTAGTGACTTCTGCAGCTTGCTGTGAACGTATGAAGTTATCTTTCAGAATCTGAATGAAGATTTTTCTAAATGATGAAGAATGACCATGTTGTCAAACAGGCCAGTGTCGTATTTTACTGCATTTACTTTAAAAAATGAGACTGTCAGTGCCACGTCGAGCTTTGTTGTCTCCTACTACATGACTTGACAGAATCTAGAAACAGGATGTGCCACTGTGAGCACTTGGAAACGATGATTCCATCTCTATTAATAAATAAAATGGTTGTCCTCTGGTCCTGAAGGCAGTTGAGCTCATTGTTCAAACAGGTTAACTCCCTGACCCCCACTAAAAGAGGGTGGCTATTTTCAGGCTTCCTACCAAGGAAGGTCACTGGCCTGTATTATTAGCCTGTGACCCTATGAATGCATGAGAATTATAGGGGAGGATGTTTGTTGGCCCTGGTGAAAACCATCGGGGACTGTGCTAATGCTATGGACTCATGTGGGCCCGTGCCCGGCTGCCGATTTGTTTATTAGTGTGCATACAGCCAAAGCGAGGGATGTCACTCAGGAACACAGTTAAATTAGTCAACTTCAAGAGTTGTTGAGAAGATCAAACTGTAACAAGAAAGTTGGAACTCTGAAAGCTACAAATGTCAAGATGTCCTGTGGGGGCCAGCTCAGTCTGCCGAGCACCCTCCTGTGTCCCAGCCTATTGTTTCAGCATTAACTGGGATGCCGGAGTGCCTCCCACGTTTCACCATTTGCAAGAGTCTAATTTGCTTGTAGGAATTCTTCTTTCCCAGCACCCACCAAGCCTGCTCTTGCAGCTTTTTCAGCGAAGAGCAAGGAGACTGCAGCAATCTCAGGCTCTTAAATGAGTTACGTGGAGATTTTTTTTTTTTAATTGAAATTGAAATGTCGCCTTTTGTGTTTGCACCCTTTTCTAGCAGTGCTTCTATCAGTGTAACTTATGGAGGTATGAATATGCACATGTCGTCCATAATGTTGCAGAGATCCTCTAGCATGTGCACTGCTTTCAGGGTTAAATTTGTCAATGAATAAGCAATGGAAAAATTGTTTATAGTGTTAGCAAGATTATTAATCCCAGAGGGCCTCCCCAAATTTACCTCTGTAGCTAAAGCAAAAGGAAAGAGTTATTTGGAGAAGGGCAACAAACAACACTGGAGAAATACCTGACTATTAATAGAATTTCTCAGTACATGTGGCTTGAAGCGTATAAAAGGCTTTCATAAGAAAGAGTAGCTAGTATCTGGCATCCTCTCTGTGTAAGGAGGACGGGAGAGTTGCTGCATTTTTATTTTTTTTTAACTTAAGTGAAAACATATGGCACAGCGTACGCTAAAAAACTAAGCAGACATAATCCGTGTAATATCCCTTCCATGCATTTAGTCCATAATTGTGTCATTGCTTAGCGGTAAT